TCACGTGTTTCTGTAGAGACTAGCGCCATTTAGCCTATAGTTTGGCACTAGCGCTTCCATATAAGAAGGTGCTCCAACAATGAGAGGTCTTAGCTAATTATACACAATCAAGATTAAAGCCTACTCGCACATACTTCTACACATGAAAACTCTTGCTTTATTGGAGAAAGTTTTTATCAGAAAATCAAAAACGCACAAATCTGCTCAGATTTAACCTTTTTTGAAGTTGACTAAAAAGTTCGCAACCTTACTTCTTTTCGATAAATGTCTTTGTGAAGAATAGTGCGTTCAACAAAGTTCGAGAGCACATGCCCTGAAAAACACGGTTTGCTTGAATGAGGAAAGTGCCTCAAACAGTCACCTTGTTCGTACATAGGCAAAAATTCTAGTTCCTGCCATCCTGCTCAATTTGAATCATCTATTTGCAGTCTAATCCTGCGATAATAACTGCAAATCGAGCAATCCATTGCTTAGTTGAGAGATGATATCCATGTTTAAGCAGAGCCACAAATGACGCTTCCTGACTAAGCGCAAGCATCAGGTGTGTCACTCAAAAAATGATTGCTTAATAAATTCTAAATGTGGATATTTTGCTGGAGAATAGATATCACAGGTAGATCTCAAGATATAATAGGTTTATTTCCAGAGATAATGCACAATTATCTTACAACATATTATGAAGTCTACGTCTTCGAATAAAAATTTCATTGACTGCGATAGAATATCAGAAACAAAACGATATCTTATTCTCTGACTAAGAGACACGAGCATCTTTGCGTACAACTGATTAACAAATCTAATACCGAATTTTTGCCTTCAAGGTACTTTGTAAGCGGGAATGCAGAAAACAGATTTTTAGAACTTTAGAGTTTTCTAGAATAAAGGAAAATTAATACGAAATGTGCTAGTGTACCCGCCCTTCTTTGCTCTCATAAAATATAATTGCTTGAAGAAGAGCTGGGGTGCCGAGCAAGAGAAAGTATCGCTGGTGGGCGTCGATAACTCGGCATCGTTAATCCTCTTTCTGACTATTCGTACTTTTCTTTTCTTTTGAGTCAGACTGAAGTGTCAAACAGCTTTTGTTTAGAAACTGAGGTGCGAAAATATGTTACAAAGGAAGCTTCAAGTATTTCGCATTTCTATTTATTATGGCCTCCGAGCACTTATAGTTTAGCATCTTTTCCAACTTACTCATCTTCATTAAGTCTGGAATTTTCGCTTTGCTCCACCACCCGATGAGCTCTCTTGAGGTTCTTGAGACAATTGTAACATGAGCGATGTCACTTTGTTTCTTTCTTCTTGCAATAGTCGAAAGACACCTTTTTAAAATCGGCCATTCCAAAAAACGATGATCAAACAGTTTATGCCGCATGGAATGAGAAGGATATCTTGCAAATGATATCAAGGTTTTCATAAAAACCATTTTGGATTAAAAAATACAAATCCAACTTTGCTAATGCAAGAGAAAAATTTGATAAAAACAAGTTCTTTTCTGTAACCAGATAACCAAAGTTGAAAAAACGCTGAAAATTACTCTAAAAAAATTACGCCAATGGCCAAGGGGAATTCATGAATAGTTGATATATACAGGGTGTCCCAAAAGTAAGTGCACACTTTTCAATTGTTAATATCTCTCTTCCCATTGTGTCTTTTCCCGCTGTTCAAATACCATTACTTAGAGGGAGCTTCAACTTAGATTTGCAGTATTAAGCGAATCACCGATCACTCTTCATTACTGTAGGATTATTGTAGCAACTTCAACAAGGCTTTCAGAAAATTGAAAGCCATGTTCTGCCTCGGAACAAAACCAAACAAGACAAAAACTTTCATACTATGGTAATGGAAGCCGCTGATTTCGAATATGAAGTTTCCACTTTACTATGATGCTTCTTTCCAAAGTTATCCCAGGTGAACCGTAATAACTCAATTCCCCGTATTTGTTAGAAATGTGATTACACCGTCAAAAAAGCTGAAAACACTCGTAAAAAATTATGTATGGGAATCAGCGTGCGCGAAAACCATAGTACACGACTTTTCAGATTTTTTGAAATAAAACTCCTTTAGATGTATCTTACAAAGGTTCCACATGCTAAAGTTCTTACCGTAATCCTACAGTAACGAAGAGCGATCGGTGATTCGTTCGACACTGCAAATCTAAGTTGAAGCCTCCTCTACAGAATGGTGCTTGAATGGTAAAAAAAGACCCATTGGGAAAAGAGATATTGACGGTTGAAAAGTGTGTACTTAGTTTTGGGACACCCTGTACGATTACTTACTTGAGCTCAAATCTTTTCTTCTACAACCGACAGAAGCTTAGCATTCGGATTACAGCGCAGTGGTGATTGCAGAGGATCATGTGTGACCTCCACTTGATCATTCTGTTTCAATTCAAATAGACTCAAATGCTTTACTACAAACAAGGTAACTTTCTATCTAAAAAAAATCGTCTTTGCATGATTGGCAAGAGTGATTTCGTTTGCTTATAAACATGACTACCGTCTCAAATCCGAAAAGAACAACTGACAGTTGTTACTCGTGGAAGCCATCGTCCTCATGATACTCCGAAATTATTGACTGGGAAATCTTACGTCTTCTTTTCTAATTTGAGTTACACTTCGTAAAAGCCTAGAAGTTGGGCTCGTGATCGCGCTAGACGGTACCACTTTTAGGCGAATTTCTTGGAATTTAAGGAAGAAAGATCTGTTTGCACAGACCTGATATTCTAAAGCGTAGAGGAGAATGTGGAATTCTGTTATCTTGAGAAAAATCATTTGTTACACAAGATTTTTGAATGTCTTGAGTCAAGCGTTCAAAAGTTGTCTAACTAAGAAAAATGATCAAAGAATTTTTCAACTTTTTCAAACAAGTTTTAAGGCAATTCAAAGAAGATCATATTTTTGTAATTTTCAGGCACATGGCTTTATAGAGCACTGATTACTTATTTTACGAGTACAAGGCGAACCATCTTTTTAGCTCGATCAAACCCATGCATGCGAGAATTTTGCAACCAAGTCCCATCTACTGTGCTGCATGCTGGAAAGACTTGTGTGGAGAGCCTTTAATTGGCAAGCCACGGATTGCAGTCGACGTGCTTGCATTTAGGAGAAAAAGTGCACATTATACCTATAAAAGGGGCTGTTGAGCAACATCTGCGATTTCAGATATCCCAGTGATTATAGTGGAAAGGGGGCTCTCATCTTCTTCGAAAGAAAACAGTCTGAAAGTACCAAAATCAAATTAGAATCACAAAATTACCAAAAATGGCATCTGAAATGTAAGTCGCATTACGAAACGTCACAGCAGTTCTAGGTGTATTTTGCTCGTAAGTATTGTCAGGTGTTGACGTTACAAAACTGAACATCTTGTGTCCATAAGATTTCAAACCGTTGCAAAAGGCACAATGCATACGTAAACTACCTGATCTGCCATAATAAGCAGTTCGTATGATGCTGTAGAGCAATAGATTTCCAGCTTTCAGAAATTAACGCTTTTTTGCTGTCCGAATGCATCGTGCAGTCCAGTATGTCCTCAAGTACGGATTTCAAAGCTTGAGCAACAATTTCAGATAGTGTGTTTTTACGGCTTAAAGGACGCAAACAGGTAGCTCTAAAGTAGTGCTTCCACCAGAATGAAAACCGTAAAATCCAAACTTTTTGAGGAAGAGCCTGATAAAAGAGGATGGTCGGAAAGCAGCATTTAGCCAGCATTGAATACTATTGCTAAAATCTCATCATTTAGAAGTGCAATTTTTGAAGGTATTACCTAGAGCTCATCAGAACGGACTTGATTCGAGTAAATTTGCTATCACATGAGAAATACAAGTTTGCTGATTTATTCGGTCATGCTATGTCTTTCCAACCTAAAATGCTTGGAAAAGTATTGCTTAACACGTGCAAGAGTACAGAAACCTGAAGTTGTTGAAGTATGTAGTAGCAGAAGTTAGATCAAATATTGTTTCGCTGCACAGTTGCAATAACCATAAAAAGGATCCCGCCTAAGTTAGCAAGTCACAAAATAGAAGTGCTATTTTCGTGGACTTCCTATTGTCAACTTGTATGATCTATGTATGTAAACAGCCTATCGGCCCACTAGAAGAATGTGACTTCGTCACATTGGCATGCTTCTGCCGCTCACTAATTATTGAAGAGTGAAGGCATAAACGGCTCGCCCAGCCCTGTTAATACAAAATGCACCCACTTGTTTTTGATTAGGGCCTTGTACAGATCGAGTGAAAGGAGGTTGGACTCTGTTTTTAAGACCAAATGCAGATGGGATATCGTTGCAGGGTTGTGGTTGGAGCCCCGGAAAAAAATTGCGTACATGCATTATTAACGAACTAAGTGAGAAAATTGTACATACAGTGTGCAAGGCGATTGAACACAATTGCCGTCGTGCCAAAAGCGACCATTCAGTCAAGCACAAGCCTTAAAGACAAAGTAGCACAAGATGGTCGTATTCCATCGTGACTTGCAACGAGCGCGCGCGATTTGAAAGCGAAGCCAAAATTAGAAAACTACTTGTTTACAACGCAAAACAAGCATAGATACAAAATCTGGGGTGTAGACAACAGAATATTATTTACGGAAAAAGCATGTAAAAAGTATTGAAAACTTGCCAAAGAAAGAACCTGTCCCTGATCATAAGGACATTTTCATATCATTGCCTCTACTTCGTCTTTTGCCTCAATTTTTTCCGCTTCGTTAGATATCGCGCTCTAATGTCAAACTCTTTTGCGTGCGTAAAATTAGCTCCACCTAAAATTTTCACTTTTATTTCAAAGTAGTAACTCTTTTTTGTTTTTTTTCTCCTAAGTCGATAAGTTCCCGGTAAGTTTATCTGAGACACGCACTTTAGAAGGGAAGCATACATGTTTACTAGGTTTCGGTAGCGCAGTTATCTATTAGAATAGGTTATGAAATACCTTTCACAAATGTTTGGCTCACTGGGTTAAAACTTTATAAAAAACAAAAATTTGTATCCATCCGAGAATGCAGGCAGAGTCAAACTTGCCCATATAGACTCTTGAGATTATGCGTCAACGCCATTCTACACCATTCGTAGCAGCCCTTGTGCTTATCATATGTGTTCTTCAATGATCTTGGATATTTGTGCAGGCAATCAGAGACACACTGTAAAGTGGGATCATGGTAATGCATATCACTGCAGAAACATTGAAGATACTCTAACCTGGTTCAACTCGGGATTTTTTCTGTGCTTACCATACACGGACGATACGAGAAGCACAAGCAGTAGCATTTGTAGCACATGCATTTTCTTTCACAAGTGTCCTGAAACATTGCTATTAGATTGGTTAATAAATGATTTCGTTTTGAAACGCAAATTCGAAGCTCTATAGCAATTCAAGTAACTGTTATTTGCCTGAGATCTTTGTGAGTGCAAAGCTTTAGACCTGTTCTATCACATACTCATTACATAGAGTTTTCTATAGTGACAAAAGACGGTTTGATCCTATATGACTAAACTTCTAATAATCAATATTTTGAGTTTTCAAGTTCCGTTTTCAAGCTGTATTATGGCGCAGATAAGCGAATTAGTTCTCTAGATATCCTCCGCATGTAAATGCCTAGAAAACTGTGGTGGATCAATTTTCGGGTAATCCAGACCGCTGAAACTTGACCATCTATGTCCGTGCAGATGGTTGGAAGGAGCTATCAAAAAGTATGTGTTCGCTCGCAGTATTGTGATTGATATAGGTTTTAGCACTCAAAGCGAAGGGCTAAATTAGTATTTAAAATAACTAGAACTCTTGAGAGACTTTAACTTCTACTCAGTTTTTGGCAAAGCTATACAATAAATTCAAAAAATTCGCGCATTTAGTACTTCTCCGACTATAAAATGCATTTGGCGCAGAAGATGAATTGTTGATCAAACTTAATGGAGATTGATTGTGCACAATAGCGGTGTTTCCAACTTATTGCAAAGCTAGGAAGTTGCTTCAGAAAACAAAGCAGAGCAACTCCGCCTATCTCAGGAGCGGTCTGAAGGTGCTAGGTGCAAATTTGGACTTTCAAGCATCTAAATCGAAATTATTACCTCATTATGACTTTGAGACTGGAAGTAACTAGACTCTTTTTAACTAGTTCCAAATACATATATTTTATCAGTGGCAAACAGAAGAGGGGAGGGGCGAAGTTTTTGAAATTTACTTGCATGGGTTATGAACATGTGCGAACGACTTGTTATACTTGTAAAAAATTAAATTAATTTTTAAAATTTTTTGATAAAAAAATTTTCCGGGAGCGTGTAAAAAAGGGAGCTTGGCTGCCGCCACGCCCCCTTTTTTTCAAATTTCGGAGTCAGGGGGCCGTAAAAATTTTGGGAAGCACCTGGAAAATTCTCCGGAGTGTGTGGCTAACGTCACCCCCTTCATCTGAGAAAAGTCCCCCCCCCCCTCCCCGAACGGAAATGCTGGAATATGGCTGTTTCTCACTTAAACAGGTATCAATGCCAGTTGTGGCGAGGAAGACACAGTAAGTCCATTTTACAGTTAAATGTCAATAAACATTTGGAGTCGTGAAGAAAAATAGAAAGATTTTTTTGTTCCATTCATAATTATTTATTCGAATTGGGAAAACTGCAAACAAGCTTTTGGGAAGATACAATTTTTGTTGATATTTTACCTGCGGCAGGTGTGACCGTCGTGTAGTGCAGGGATATTTGAGAGAAAAACTTGTCAACTTAGTACAAGAACAGTGATTACTGCGATTGAGCTCAATGAGAAAAACTTTTTATAGACTTGAAGGCTAAGCTAATACTCTGTACATAGAGAGACTGTCACGGACGATTTGATTTAATAAAATGCTCTCTAGTTGACTTGCAAGTATATGAGTGGTTTTATATACTTAGTGGCGTGCACGGTCCATTTGCTTAACTTAAATACCATGTATGTAGTTCTTCACAGCTGAAGATCCAAATATGTTTTACTTTATTGTATAGTGCGTCATGATCGACAACAAACATCAAACGTAAATATACAACACTGTCAGTGTTTTGATATATGTAGTATGCACGGCCCATTTACTTGATTTAAATATCGTGTAAGTAGTTATTGTCACAGCTGAAGATTCAAATGTGTTTTACTTTATGTCATGATCGACACGAAACATCAAACGCAAATATGCAATACTCTCAGTGTTTTGATATATGTAGTGTGCGCAGCCCACGTGTAAGTAGTTCTTGTCACAGCTGAAGATTCAAATATGTTTTACTTTATGGTATAGTACATCATGGTAGGCAAGAAACATAAAAAGTAAATATGCAATACTGTCAAGGATAGATTTCACAACTTGAACAATACTAGAACAATCATTATGTTTATTAGAAGATTATAAAGTTTACCAGCCGCTCTCTGCCGCCGTAAGTTCGGCTGATGCTCACCAGCTCCGTGCCTCGTGAACTTTTCGTTTTATATTTACTTTCTACCTTGATGCAGAAATTTGAGAATTTGTAGACAATTCGCCTACTTGCACAAATCAGATTTATAACCTGCGCAGAAAGAAAAACTGAGGACATATTTTCGGCTTTGTTAGTTTATTTTGACTCAACATTTTTAGCAACGTATACTACGCAAATTGCAAAAATCAATGGATTGATAAAGGCAATCGGTAGGTCCCAAACAAAATGGCTTACTGAAACACGCCCCACCAAAAACTATAAACTATGTCTGTCATACTTGGTTTAGATTCCATTACCCCTTCTGTCCTTCTTGGGCGAACATAAAAAAATTTCTGAGCAAAAACTGCAAAAAAACAATAAATCGAGAGAGGCAATCCGTTGTCTCGAACAAAATGGCTTATTTATATACGCCCCACCCTATACATTATGTATGCCAAATTTGGTTTAGATTCCTTACTCCTTCTATCTTTTTAGGCGAAGATACAAAAAGTGGCTAAGCCAAATATTAAATTAAATTGTCCCGAAAGTTCTGCCGTTTCATTTTTAAAAATTTGTAACTTTTTGCTGACTCAGCGAATTTGCTTCTCTCCAAATTCATCAAGAGAAGAAGTCCTCCCCTTTGCAGTAATGCTTCGATGAGCTTCTATTGTACATTCGTTGCAGAGATAAAATGGAAAAACAGGATCGCTTGCTTTGACCATTTTAAGTTAGGTCGCCAAAGTCTGGAACGCTGCAGAAAAATCTGAAAATACCAGTCTGTAAGTTCTATGAGCTACTCTTTGCATATGAGGAAAAATCGTGCTGTTTGGATGTTTCAATGAAAGTTATGATTTTCGAGAAAAGTGGCAACTTAGTCAATTTTGACGTTTTCTACTGTAAACTCGAAATTCATAATCTTTCACAGACTTCAAAAAAACGCGATTTTTTCTCAGATGCAAAGAATGGCTCATAGAACTTATATACTGGCAATTTCAGGTTTTTCTGCGGCGTTCCAGACTTTTGGCAACCTAACTTAAAATAGTCAAAGCTCAAGTGGACTTGTTCTCGCATTTTTATTTCTGCAATGAATGCATCGTAGAAGCTCTCCGAGACATGCCTACAAAGAGGAGGACTTTTTCTTTTCAACGAAACTAGAAAGACGCAAATTCATTGAGACGTCAAAAAGCTACAAATTTTTAAAATTTAAACGACAAAACTTTTAAAATAGCCTAATATAAGTATAGATTCTCAAACTTTACGTATACACTCACTACTGCTTCAAAAATGTGTGTGTATTTGTGTTTTATTGTAACAAAAACAGAACGACTGTAAAAACTGTAGAGCGACTTAGCCATGCATTAAACTCCTTCGCAAGAAGGGAATCTTGCTCAGAAATACTCAATTTTCTGAAGCACCATGTAACTAATTTCAGGCTGGCAATCTATCCGTAAGATATTCTCACTATTTTTTCACTGTAAACATATTGAACAACAACGGAAAGCTGTACAAAAAACTTTTTCAGCTTTTGTGTGATCCTCTAATGATTTTCGGCTGCCTACCGCCTTTTCCTCAAAGTCATTTCTCCTTCTTCGAAATCAAAAAGGCATTCTAAGCTTGTACTAGATCCTAACCCTTCAGAGCCAAGCATGGCGATAGGAACAAATGAGTAATCGTAATATTGAAGGTTCCCGATAAATAACTTTCGATCTGCATCGCAAATTTCATGACTCCTTTGAGGCGAAAATCGCTCATTTACTTTGCAATGGTAGCGGTAGCAATAATCGTGTGTTGAAGACTCAGAATTCTGTAGGCTTTGCAGTGTTTGGTGCAATAACAGGTTATGCGATTTTTCCAAAACACAAGACTTTAAAATTATTCAGCAAAAATCTGAAAAGCAGCTAAAAAAAGAAAAAAATTTCTTTTGTTAGCGAAAGGTTTGCCCTATCTGGTGGTCATTAGATTCCTCCGAAAATCTTATACAAAAATTTTGAAAATTAGTGAAAGTTGGGGATGGTAAAAAGGAGTGGTTGTCGTTTCCAACATCTCGTTATTTTCTCATTGAAACACAACGAGAGTTTAGTAGCTGGAAAGAGGAAGAAATTCTGCATCGGATACTTCTTGAAGTGTTTGTTTATCTTCATTCTAGCGTGTTTGCCAATGGATTGGAAAAACTGACGAAACTTTGCCTCAAGAGTGTCTTTATAATTATGGGCAGCACTGTTTGAATATTGCCTACAGGAATAGCAAGGACAAAACTTGCAGCAGCAATTTGCTGGATTTACTGCACAAACCATTGCAGCTCCTGCTGCGACTGCTGCAGCTAATGCGGTCAATGCGGTCTTCATTGCTTGCAGAATTCCTAGTGCGTTGGTGTTCATACCGGAAGCTATCAGGTTGTCCCATAAGTCCCGTCCGTTTTGACTTTCATTCGCAATAAGTCATGAACTTATAAATTCTAGATAGGTTTCAAGTTACCATTTTATAGAGCAAAGCAAGCTCTATTTAGGGGTGCCTTAATAGAGTTAATAGAGCCTATCTAGAATTCAGAAAATAATGTTTTTGCTTTCGCAACACCTCAAAAAGCAAAAAGATTCAACCGTCCGAAAAGTAGAAAAAAATTGTAACTCCGTTTAAGAAAACTAGAAAATTCCTAACTTGCTCATAAATACACTATCCACATTGTAATTCATAGATACTGTTGCTGTAGTTTTATAAACAAAAATAAAACAAAAATTTTTGTGCTCTCGCTTAAGTGATGCTGTTGTTTCCAGATTAGTAGTTGTATATTACAGACCAGTATTCGTACAGAAGTAAATTTTCAGCTCTTTACAGACTTTAGTTCTCGAGAAACACTCGTTTTGGTATGGGACATCTAG